ACCAAAGAAAAACCGTGACGCCATGAGCAAATAATTTTCTACAAACTAGTATACTTGTTCAATTTTTGCCAGTTCGTCTTTACTCTTTTAGACATGCCTTTTAGATAGCCTTAACATCGATTTTTGAGGCTGTTTGTACAATAGCTGTATTTTCATAACGAATCAACGTTCAGAGCCGAGACACTTTTCATTTTGTAGAGAAATGTTTAATCTACTCAATTATTTAGTTGTAATTTTAGATTACTTTCTAACTTTATTGTCATAGTTCTTTGAAAAAGAGCAAAAAAAGGAGACCGTTAGCTGGACAAGCCGAGAGATATATTTTAACAAATATACCGAATATTTTCTCAATTGATTGTTTTTAATCACAATTGTTAGAAATATAAAATTGAGAAAAAATTGTTTTCAATTGTAATTGAGGATAAAATACTATCAGTATTGCAAAATTGAAATGAACTAACTCTTAAGCATAAGGAACTTTTAACTCACAATACTGAATGTTTTTTATAGTTTTTTCTTGCAAAGTACACTATTAAGATCCATATAGTACTTTTTTGTCGCACACACCTTCACTATTTCGGCAAAAATTAGAATTGATCTAATTGAATAATTTCAGAGGTTTTTTTGACATATTTCACACTTTTTATTGGCGATTCAAACTATTAAATAAAAACATGTACCAATCAACTTTTAGAACTGACAGTGATTAATCGTCTTTTCATTTGTTCTTTGCTTTGAAAGGTGTGGAGTGCAGAACTATAATAAGAATTTATTTCATTTACACACTTTTTATTTTTATCTTTTGCGTGATCTGAGAGACAAATAAATTAATCTCCAGTTGTTTACGAACGATATCTATATCAATTTTATCTGAATATAGGGATGGTGCATCATCCATTTAGATGTTCTGAAAGCAAAAAACTAGATTTAATATAATTCAGTGAACTTTTATTTTAGTCAATTTCTACTCGTAAAACATAAAGTATGAACTCCCCTAGTGAATGTACTAGAGATCAAGTACTTAGCTACTTGTAAATTTTCTAAAGTAGTTGTTTAAACACTTGTCAAGCATTTTTAGATTTAATATGTGCCATGTACTTGGAAGAAATTCGGATACCTGCATATATTTCGTAAGTGCTTACCAAGTTATCTGCCAAATACTTGATGAAGTACTTATCTAGTAGTCATTTTATTTAGTCCATGATCTTAAAGCTGACTTGGTGATGATAAAAGATTAAAAAAAACTTTGTCTAGATCATACCGAACAAAAAAAAGAAAAAAATATATAACATAAAATATATATGGCTTAATTAAGGAAAAGAGACACTTCTTCAAGGAAAAAGATGCTTCGACAATGCACGCTTAAAAGGTCGATCGTTAAATGCGACCATAACCTCTCTTGGTAACTGACTCCATTCCTTTATCATTCTTGGTAAGAACGATAAGCTAGTAGTTTTACGGTTATATGTAGGCACTTGCCAAAGGCATCGATTAGATGTTCGAGTAGCAAGTGGACTTACTAAAGAAAAGCGTGAAAGTGCACTTCATCCGGTAACGATTTTTTGAAATAAGGTCAGCTTGAAAGTTTTCTTCTTGTAACGAGATCTGGTAACTGTAATTTGGCAATGAGCAGAGAACTATCAGAAACGAAGTCTAGTACTTATATTTGTTAAACTACTTGATAAGTACTTTTTTTACTTGCAAAAAGCTCCAGAAACTCTGAACATTACTTACCCAAGTACTTTTCTAAGTATTTAGTACGTTCACTAGGGTCAGTATATCAATTAATAAGAACAGAGTATAATACCGACTCTTAACGATTGACTCGCCTCGACAGTTGAAACTGTGTGCTGAACTTTTTATTCAATTTCAAATATCCTCTATAAAAGAATTCAACTGTTAGAGATAACTGGGAGTAATCAATAATATTTTTATTAAGTTAACAGAGAAGTTCAATACTTTTAATGAATCATCGGTGAAAACGGCCATGGTTGACAGTTAGTTCACACTGCGATTCCATTTAGAAACTAAAGGACAATCACAGAACTCTTTTAGTTATCCTTGATTTGACTGATTCAAACTACACTCTACAGTATATAGAGGTTTTCTTATTTGAGAAATACTTTCAATTCTATATTTTATCAGTCTATATCCGTTATATCCAGGTCGTTAAATTAAGATAAAATTCCACTGAAGAACTAAGTGAACATCCTTCTTTTTTTGTCCATTATGAAGAATGTTCGATTATCCAATATCAAGATAATGGTATTACCATACTTAATTTTGCATTTATTCGATGATCTAGAGATAACGTTTAATATCTGTTGTCTCTTTCTTTCTTTTCTCTCGATTTCGAAAGAATGTTCGATGTGATATTTAATTTTGTTGTGCGACATATCTGTGTATATTTGCAACAGATAACACACTTGTCTTTCAAAAGTAAATAGATGAACATTGAATAGTATACATATATATGACACAAAAATCATTTATTTAAACGATATTTCTACATAAACTCGAACATATTTCTCATAGAAAATCATGAATGGTATCTTATTTTTTGCAATTATTTTGACTATTTTTCATGGTGGCACTTCAATGATATTATCAAGTATTGATCCTAATCAGGACAAGAGTAATATTCAATCAGAATCAATAATTGATTTGTACAATCAAATAAATCAAAAAGGTTCTTTACTTGCAGCAACATCATTAACGTTACAAGCACAACAAAAGCTAAAAACAATTGATACTGTTAGATTGACACCTTGTGAAGGTAAGCAGTAAAAATGTTTTAAATTTCTATTGAATAGATCTACATTTAACTGATATCTTTAAGAAAATAAATTCAAAATATAGTGTAATTTGTTATTTTCTAAATAATTTTAAAAAAGAGGTAGACACCAACGGATAGACTCAAACGATAGAAGAGAGCGAAAGACGTCTTTCAAAAAGAAAGGAATTTGAGAAGACGTTTCATAAACAAAGTTAATGTGAGGATCCTTCTAAAATCCACTCAGATTTCTAAAATTTAAAACGGTAATCTACATATTTCTTTTTTCCATGAGTAGAGATACTTTATAGGACTACAGTCGATAGATCTGTACACATCATCAACATAAAAGTTTAAGGAATTATAACGAGGAGATTTTTATTCTCTCACTTTTTTTTTATGTTTATAAGTAGAATATCATGCTAGTTTCTGTTTTAAGCGTTGCAATTTTGAAATCGAACTTTCATTTTCTTTTTGTTTTGTGTTGTGTCGAAAGCCGACTCCTCACACGTTTTTCCAAAGTTATTATGAAACTTGCTATAATTGACCTCTTAAATAGTTATTGAAATATTTATTCAATTTTATCATAAATTGCAGCTAAATTCGTTTCTTATTTTGTTTCGCCGATTCATCATCAGAGTGAAATTACCGATGTCATCATCAGAGTTTCTCTGATGATGAATCGATGATTCAAAAGCTCAGAATAAAAATTCATTGATAAAATAAAAACAAAATAAGAAGTGAATTTAGCTGCAATTTGTGATAAAATAGAAACTTTTATTGTAAAAGATCTACCATTAGAAAAAAGGTCTATGTTTATTCAGATATCTAATATTTCATACTGTCAATTAATAATTGAAGTCCCGTGGAGTCTAGATATACGTAAAACCCTTATCGAATAATAAAGTCGTCCTATAGTAGAAGACACCATGGACAGAAGGCCAATAGAGCGAAATTTCCTCAAAATTACCCTGGATAGTACGATTTTTTTTAGAGAAAAATCGTCTATGTGCAAATCTAATAGGAAGGGATAGAAAAATATCATGAGGAATTCAAAATTTAATTAAAAGAAGGACTAAAAATAAGTTAAATTGTTGACAAAAATTCACGACTAAAGAACTTTATTTGACTTTAGTCGAGAGGAACTATAGCGATCTAAAAGACTATAGTCATAGAGATGCATTGAACCAATATGAAAACTGGTAGTATGCGATATGTAATTTTATGAGCTCTTAGAGAGAAACAAAAATGTCTACTACAACAATATCAAAAACGCAACTGAATATTTAAAACACGTTAGAGAACACTTTTAAATTTCATCGTTTGTGAAACCATTGTGCAAAAAAAACCGTTTGTTTCGTATCTGAATCTTCTTCGTACTTGCTAGTGTTTAACGTCTAGTTTATTTTATCTTGTTATGTTAATCCTTCAGATTAGCATGAATTTATAAAATACGGAATATCTGATAAACATTTTCACAAGGAACATGTAACAAAAAAAAAATAGACGACATCGAACTGAAAATAGAGGGAGCCTAATGTCCTAGTAATAAAATCAAAAAAGTGGAGAACAAAAAGCTCTTCGTTTTGATTCTTAAATTTTTGTACTAACTAGAAAAAATCTCATCTTTATCCTCTCTTCAGTGAGAACACAACAAAAAAGTTCTTTTTACTCAGATCATTATGGTTATATTTCCACATCTCAGTTCATAAACCATATGTCTTCTGTTCATCTCGATATTTTGAATGAGAATAATTCATATTCGACGAAAAGATAGAATATTTTGTAATTTATTTATTTATCGTTTTTGATTTTAGTTCAAACTAATCTCAATCAATCGTTATATCAATTTGATTTGGATATGAACATAATTCATCCACATTCAATGGAAGATTTAAAATTAATCGAACTTCGACTACAACGATATTCTGAAATAGAAAAACCATTAATTTTCACTGTTGATTGGAATAATCGTGTGAAAAAGTTTCGATTTAAACCACAACTCATTTCATTACTCTCAAATCAACAACAATCATATTTATCATATGATTTAACACGTTTTTATTATCGTTTTAAACGACATTATTCACATGTAAAAACTGTAAAACTATCATCGAATCATGAATTAGAACAAGTGTCCATTGTTGTCTATTCAACATCTAAATCAAAGGTATTCATGTTTTCAATTAAACAAAGCATTCGAATACAAAAACAAGAACAACAACGACGAAAAAAGAGAACAACAATGACAACATGTTCAAAAAATGAATTTCAAATTGATTTTGATCAATTTCCATGGGGCAAATATGTTTTAGCACCGAAAAAATTTAATGCACAAATTTGCACGGGTAAGAGAACAATTTCTCAGTAAAGGAAGTTTAAAATGTTCATATTAGAAGTTAATATGATAAGAAAAATAGTGTAAAAATCTATTGGATTAGAAAATTTTTATTTTATTTTTTTTCGACGCAGATTGGATAAGTGTCATTTTTCAGTTATTTGTTATTTTTTTTATAGGCGATTGTCCAAATCCATTATCTTATGATCTTTATCCTTCGAATCATGCAATGCTAATTTCATTGATCAAAGCCAAAAATCCACAAGATATAAAAATTCAACCATCATGTGTTCCTGTAAAATTACGTCCATTAAGTTTGCTTTATTATGACAAAGATGAATTGGTCATTAAATATCATATGGAAATGATTGTTGAAGAATGCGGTTGTCGATAAAAACGAAAAAAGAAAAAAGACATATGGACACATGGATATTTGTCTCCATGCAACAGTAAAATTTAAAATATTTTGTTTTTAAGTAATGTTCAAGAAAACGACGCTTCGTTTATGTTGTATAAGAAGAAAAATTCTAAGTACATCAGATACATTCTAAGCTAGAATCGTATGATCGGTGTGAGAAAAAGGGATGTATGATTGCCACTTCTATGTGACGTGATAACACATAAATTATCCCGTTCTAATAGTAGGCATAGTCTTATAAAGTTTGGATTTATGTTCTGATCAGGAATCCCAGATCCAAAAGATAAAAATCAGAAAAAAAACTCAAAATATGAATTTTTTAGTGCTCAGAGAATTCATTATATCTTTTTAAACAATAAATGTCGTATTATGTCTGTGTTCATGCATTTCACCCATTAAATTATAATCACATTTACATTAAAAAAAAATAACCAAAATGGCATATAAATAAAGTATTTGAGATGAATATAATACAAAAAGAACAGATAAGCTCATTTAATACGTTGCTTTTTGATTTGTTATTATATTTTTCATTTTTTCTTATATTTCTTTTAACAAATCAGACTGCGAGAGAAGATATTTATGAAAATTTGTACATAAGAAATTTTGAATTTTAAACGTATTTTTAATTCAGAAGAGCAACTAATCCATACGATTACGTGAATCTGACCATGCGTGTTTCATATGACTAAGTATTGATTTAACATATCCATCTTCCCATCCTGGGAGATATTTCTTTCTCTTAAGTTATTCTATGAGTAGAAACAAAGTACAGAATTTTTCCCAGTTCTCGAGCGGAATGGGGAACATTTCCTCGAAAGCGATATTCTCAAAATAATTTCCTGCAATGAAGTTTCCTCGAATGGAAACCTCTTCGAATTTTCGAAACAAAAATTATCGATATTATTTACGGTGTATAGAACAAGAGAAACATTAAAGATGAACACAAAAGATGACTTCAGCTACAGATAAATACCAATAAGACAACTAAGCCTATCTCAGTTATCTATCAATAAAACTGCCTTATTTGAAACAAAATTTATAAATGGATATTATGAGCTATAGCAGCTATTTGTTGTTCTATATTGGGATGAGGATATTTAATTAGATTTATTAAACGTCTATTATGATCTACATAACATTTCTTTTGAACTTTTGCTACATGGTCGGTATTTACATCTGCCACATCCAATTGAAAAGAACTTTCTTCTGTTTCTAATTTTTCTACAAATGTCTACAGAGTTTTTTGTATCAATGTATCAAAGTGACTTTTAAAATGAGTAATAGTCTTATTTTCTCTTATAAACTGGTACAAACATGTATAACCGAAAATTTGAGGAGGTTCTATACACTGCAAATAGTATTGATAAGTTCTGTTTGAAAAATTCGAGGTTTCCATTTGAGGAAATTTCATTCGAGCAAAATGCCCAAACCCCTCGAGCGCTCGTATAAACAAAATACGTCTAAGCTCGCAGACTACTGTAATCAATCGATGCATGAGCAGTTTCTGAGATAAGGATATATACAAGGAAGATTTATAACAAACTATTGGGATATTATTGTCCAGTGCCTACTACCGGAACAGAAAGCGATATGAACGTGATACGATACATGCACTATTAGCCAAATTTCAAATAAGTTCACCTAAAATCAGATCATCGTTGATAGTACAATCCCTAGTGAAAGTACTCATCCGATGAGTACGACTTTACTCATAATTCGTCCATGAGTACTCATATTGGTACTACTAACAATTTCTGAGTATTGTTACTCAGTGAGTACTCAGTTACTCATGTGAGTA